CGAATATGATCTAAATCCAACTTTCGTCGGTTGAATGTGATCTAAATCCAACTTTGGTCGGTTGAATGTGATCTAAATCCTACTGTCGTCTGTCGAATGTGATCTAAATCCTACTCTCGTCTGTCGAATGTGATCTAAATCCAACTGTTGCCTGTTGAATGTGATCTAAATCCTACTGTCGTCTGTCGAATGTGATCTAAGTCCTACTCTCGTCTGTCGAATTTGATTTAAATCCTACTGTTGCCTGTTGAATGTGATCTAAATCCTACTGTCGAATGTGATCTAAGTCCTACTCTCGTCTGTCGAATTTGATCTAAATCCTACTCTCGTCTGTCGAGTGTGATCTAAATCCTACTGTTGCCTGTTGAATGTGATCTAAATCCTACTGTCGTCTGTCGAATGTGATCTAAGTCCTACTCTCGTCTGTCGAATTTGATCTAAATCCTACTCTCGTCTGTCGAGTGTGATCTAAATCCTACTGTCGTCTGTCGAATGTGATCTAAGTCCTACTCTCGTCTGTCGAATTTGATCTAAAACCTACTCTCGTCTGTCGAATGTGATCTAAATCCAACTGTTGCCTGTTGAATGTGATCTAAATGCAACCGTCGTCTGTTGAATGTGATCTAAATCCCACTGCCGTCTGTTGAAAATGACCTCAATGCAACTGTCGTCTGTTGAGTTTGATCTAAATGCAACCGTCGTCTGTTGAATGTGATCTAAATCCCACCGTGGTCTGTTCAATATGATCTAATTCCTACTTCCGCCTGTTGAATATGACCCAAATGCATCTGTCGTATGTTGAATGTAATCCAAATGCAACCGTCTTCTGTTGAATATGATCAAAATGCAACTGTAGTTTGTTGAAACCTTCTTCGGCTTATTGTGTTCTCGGTCGTCTATCCTCGACCGCATCATACCGATAGCAGTTGAAATGGTACATGTTGTTGCCCTGACTCTTAAGTGATGAAACAGGATCTGGTCACAACTGCTGTTTTTCATGAAATGCGTGAAGTATTGTGAGATGACTGAGGCAAGAATGGCGCCCCTCTATACACAGAATGCTCCCAGAACTTTCTCTATCTCTCTGGGTCAGACGACACTGGAATATCCAGAATGCCCTAGAACCTTCCACACGCTCTACTGGATCTAAGAGTAACGGTGTCCAATACTGCCCAAGAAGGATAATAATAATAATAATAAGTGCATTTATAATGCACTAAACTCTATTCACTAGGTGAATGCTCATAGCGCTAACAATCAAAGCGCAGACAGTTATTAGCCCGGACAACCCAAGCTGCCTGTGAGAAGCTAGAAGGTTAATAGTCACATGACTTATCCCACCGGGTGCCCATTTTCTGCTGGGTGAACAGAGGCAATTTTGAACTAACTCACTTGCCTAAGGTGAGACCACATGTATCACATGTGCTTTGTTGTGGGGCAGGACTGAAGTCCTAGAAACTCTCAGGAGTCGAGCTGCCAACACGGTCACCCATCCAAGGACTCTCCGCGCCCTACGTTGCTTAACAAGGATGACGAGCACTGCCACACAACACGTTGTAATTTGCCAATAATGGATCTGCCATAAATTAGGGGGGGTAGGTAAACTCGATATCTGCCTAACAAGAGCCGGCCCTTTTAATTACGGCTTGGTCGATGGTCAAACAGCTGGTAAGTACTCATGAACTGCTGACCATGTCGTTATGAAACAAGAAAGATTGGTGTCAAGGCTGACGCTAGCTAACATTATTACCCATGCTAACACCTGTTATTGTTCATTTCAGAAGATATCGATCATCTACGCTTTATTTGTATCCAACACAGTTTAACTTTGTGCCAAATGAATATTAGATAAGCGGGTTGTTTATCATATATGGGACCTTGAATTGTCTTATCAAACTCTGATCACTGTCTGTCAGGCTGGCGGACTGTCTGTTTAGCTCTGTTTGCCTGTCTGTGGCTGCCTGTATCTGGCGGGTTGTCTGTTTGGCTATGTCTGTGGCTGCCTGTTTCTGGCGGACTGTCTGTTTGTCTGTCTGTGGTTGTCTGTATCTGGCGGACTGTCTGTTTGGGTCTGTTTGTCTGTCTGTGGTTGTCTGTATCTGGCGGGTTGTCTGTTTGGCTTTGTTTGGCTGTCTGTGGCTGCCTGTATCTGGCGGGCTGTCTGTTTGGCTCTGTTTGTCTGTCTGTGGCTGTCTGTATCTGGCGGGCTGTCTGTTTGGCTCTGTTTGGCTGTCTGTGGTTGACTGTATCTGGCGGGCTGTCTGTTTGGCTCTGTTTGGCTGTCTGTGGTTGTCTGTATCTGGCGGGCTCTCTGTTTGGCTCTGTTTTGGCTGCCTGTGGTTGTCTGTATCTGGCGTGCTCTCTGTTTGGCTCTGTTTTGGCTGCCTGTGGTTGTCTGTATCTGGCGGGCTCTCTGTTTGGCTCTGTTTTGGCTGCCTGTGGTTGTCTGTATCTGGCGATCTGTCTGTTTGGCTCTGTTTAGCTGTCTGTGGCTGCCTGTATCTAGCGGGCTCTCTGTTTGGCTCTGTTTGTCTGTCTGTGGTTGTCTGTATCTGGCGATCTGTCTGTTTGGCTCTGTTTAGCTGGCTGTGGTTGTCTGTATCTAGAGGGTTGTGGTTGTCTGTTTGGCTGTCTGTGGCTGCCTGTATCTGGCGGGCTCTCTGTTTGGCTCTGTTTTGGCTGCCTGTGGTTGTCTGTATCTGGCGGGCTCTCTGTTTGGCTCTGTTTAGCTGCCTGTGGTTGTCTGTATCTAGCGGGCTCTCTGTTTGGCTCTGTTTTGGCTGCCTGTGGTTGTCTGTATCTGGCGGGCTCTCTGTTTGGCTCTATTTGGCTGTTTGTGGCGGTCTGTATCTGGCGGGCTCTCTGTTTGGCTCTATTTGGCTGTTTGTGGTTGTCTGTATCTAGCGGGCTGTCTGTTTGGCTCTGTTTGGCTGGCTGTGGTTGTCTGTATCTAGAGGGTTGTCTGTTTGGCTGTCTGTGGCTGCCTGTATCTGGCGGGCTCTCTGTTTGGGTCTGTTTGTCTGTCTGTGGTTGTCTGTATCTGGCGATCTGTCTGTTTGGCTCTGTTTTGGCTGCCTGTGGTTGTCTGTATCTGGCGATCTGTCTGTTTGGCTCTGTTTTGGCTGCCTGTGGTTGTCTGTATCTGGCGATCTGTCTGTTTGGCTCTGTTTGGCTGGCTGTGGTTGTCTGTATCTAGAGGGTTGTCTGTTTGGCTGTCTGTGGCTGCCTGTATCTGGCGGGCTCTCTGTTTGGCTCTGTTTTGGCTGCCTGTGGTTGTCTGTATCTGTGGCTGTCTTGGCTGTGTTTGGCCTCTGTGGTTGTCTGTATCTGGCGGGCTCTCTGTTTGGCTCTGTTTGGCTGCCTGTGGTTGTCTGTATCTATCTAGCTGTTTGGCTGCCTGCTGTCTGTATCTGGCGGGCTCTCTGTTTGGCTCCTGTTTAGCTGGCTGTCTGTGGTTGTTTGGCTGTATCTGTGGTTGTCTGCGGGCTCTCTGTTTGGCTCTGTTTTGGCTGCCTGTGGTTGTCTGTATCTGGCGGGCTCTCTGTTTGGCTCTGTTTGGCTGCCTGTGGTTGTCTGTATCTCTGTGGCGGGTGGTTGTCTGTATCTGGCTCTCTGTTTTGCTGCCTGTGGTTGTCTGTATCTGGCGGGCTCTCTGTTTGGCTCTGTTTGGCTGCCTGTGGTTGTCTGTATCTGGCGGGCTCTCTGTTTGGCTCTGTTTTGGCTGCCTGTGGTTGTCTGTATCTGGCGGGCTGTCTGTTCTGTCTGCTCTGTTTGGCTGTGGTTGCTGTATGTGGCTGTCTGTATCTTGGCTCTGGTATCTGTCTGTCTGTTTTTGGCTCTGTATCTGTCTGTATCTAGCGGCTGTCTGTTTGGCTCTGTTTTGGCTGCCTGTATCTGGCGGGCTCTCTCTGTTTGGCTCTGTTTGTCTGTATCCTGTGGTTTGGCTCTGTATCTAGCGGTCTGTATCTCTGCTCTCTGTTTGGCTCTGGCTGTGGTTGTCTGTATCTGGCGAGGCTCTGTTTGGCTCTGTTTGCCTGCCTGTGGCTGCTCTGTTTGGCTGTCTGTGGTTGTCTGTATCTGGCGGGCTCTCTGTTTGGCTCTGTTTGGCTTGTGGTTGTCTGTATCTGGCGGCTGTCTGTTTGGCTCTGTTTGGTGCCTGTCTGTATCTGGCGATCTGTCTGTTTGGCTCTGTTTAGCTGTCTGTGGCTGTCTGTATCTGGCGGGCTCTCTGTTTGGCTCTGTTTGTCTGTCTGTGGTTGTCTGTATCTGGCGATCTGTCTGTTTGGCTCTGTTTAGCTGGCTGTGGTTGTCTGTATCTAGAGGGGTGTCTGTTTGGCTGTCTGGCTGGCTGCCTGTATCTGGCGGGCTGTCTGTTTGGCTCTGATTTTGGCTGCCTGTGGTTGTCTGTATCTGGCGGGCTCTCTGTTTGCTCTGTTTGGCTGCCTGTGGTTGTCTGTATCTGGCGGGCTCTCTGTTTGGCTTGTTTGGCTCTGTTTTGTCTGTATCTGTGGTTGTCTGTATCTGGCGGCTGTCTGTATCTGTCTGTTTGGCTCTGTTTTTGGCTGTCTGTGGCTCTGTCTGTATCTGGCTGTTTGGCTCTCTGTTTTGGCTGCCTTTGGCTGTCTGTATCTGGCGGATTGTCTGTCTTGTGGGTGGTTGTCTGTATCGGCTCTTGGTTTGGTATCTGTTTAGCTCTGTCTTTGGCTGGCTGTGGCTGTCTGTGGTTGTCTAGAGGGCTGTCTGTTTGGCTGTCTGTGGCTGCCTGTATCTGTGGGTCTGTGGCTCTGTTTGGCTCTCTGTTGGCTGCCTGTCTGCTCTGTCTGTCTGTCTGCGGGCTGTATTTGGCTCTGTCTGGACTGTCTGTTTGGCTGCCTGTGGCTGTATCTGTATCTTGGCTCTGTATCCTCTGTCTGTCTGGCTCTGTTTTGGCTGCCTGTGGTTGTCTGTATCTGGCGGGCTGTCTGTTTGGCTCTGTTTTGGCTGCCTGTGGTTGTCTGTATCTAGCGGGGTCTCCTGTCTGTTTGGCTGCCTGTGGCTGTCTGTATCTGGCACCTGTATCTGGCAGGCTCTCTGTTTGGCTCTGTTTGGCTGCCTGTGGTTGTCTGTATCTGGCGGGCTCTCTGTTTGGCTGCTGTATCTGGCGGGCTGCTCCTGTGCCGCCTGTCTGGGCTATCTAGCGGGCTGGCTCTGTTTGGCTCTGTTTTGGCTGCTGTTTGGTCTGTCTGTATCTGGCGGACTGTCTGTTTGGCTCTGTTTGGCTCTGCTCTTTTGGCTGCCTGTGGTTGTCTGTATCTATCTGGCTGTTTTAGCTGGTCTGTATCTGGCGGGCTCTCTGTTTGGCTCTGTTTATCTGGCGGGCTCTCTGTTTGGCTCTGCCTGTGGTTGTCTGTGGCTCTCTGTCTGGCGGGCTCTCTGTTTGGCTCTGTTTTGGCTGCTCTGTTTAGCTGGCTGTGGTTGTCTGTGGTTGTCTGTATCTGGCGGGCTGTCTGGGCTCTCTGTTTGTCTGCTCTCTCTGTTTGGCTCTGCCTGTGTTTGGCTCTCTATTGGCTGTTGTCTGTATCTGGCGGGCTCTCTGTTTGGCTCTGTTTTGGCTGCCTGTGGCTGGCCTGTATCTGTGGTTGTCTGTATCTGGCGATCTGTCTGGCTGTCTGTTTGGCTCTGTCTGTTTGGCTCTGGCTGCCTGTGTGCCTGTATCTGGCTGTAGTTTGTTCGTATCTGTCTGTTTTGGCTGTATCTGGCGGGCTCTCTGTTTGGCTGTTTTGGCTGCCTGTGGCTGTCTGTATCTGGCGGGCTCTCTGTTTGGCTCTGTTTTGTGGCTGTCTGTATCTAGCTGGGCTCTCTGTTTGCATCTGTTTTGGCGGACTGTCTGTTTGGCTCTGTTTGGCTGCCTGTGGTTGTCTGTATCTGGCGGGCTGTTTTGGCTGCCTATCTGTGGCTCTGTTTGCCTGTGGCTCTGTATCTGGCGGGCTCTGTTTGGCTCTGCTGTCTGTGGTTGCCTGTATCTAGCGGGCTCTCTGTTTGGCTCTGTTTGGCTGCCTGTGGTTGTCTGTATCTGGCGGGCTCTCTGTTTGGCTCTGTTTTGGCTGCCTGTGGTTGTCTGTATCTGGCGGGCTCTCTGTTTGGCTCTGTTTTGGCTGCCTGTGGTTGTCTGTATCTGGCGGGCTCTCTGTTTGGCTCTGTTTGGCTGCCTGTGGTTGTCTGTATCTGGCGGGCTCTCTGTTTGGCTCTGTTTAGCTGTCTGTGGTTGTCTGTATCTGGCGGGCTCTCTGTTTGGCTCTGTTTTGGCTGCCTGTGGTTGTCTGTATCTGGCGGGCTGTCTGTTTGGCTCTATTTGGCTGTTTGTGGCTGTCTGTATCTGGCGGGCTCTCTGTTTGGCTCTGTTTGGTTGGCTGTGGTTGTCTGTATCTGGCGGGCTGTCTGTTTGGATCTACTGTATTTGGCTGTTTGTGGTTGTCTGTATCTGGCGGGCTGCCTGTTTGGCTCTGTCTGTCTGTCTGTGGTTGTCTGTATCTGGCGGACTGTCTGTTTGGGTCTGTTTGTCTGTCTGTGGTTTTCTGTATCTGGCGGGCTGCCTGTTTGGCTCTGTTTGGCTGTCTGTGGTTGTCTGTATCTGGCGGACTGTCTGTTTGGCTCTATTTGGCTGTCTGTGGCTGTCTGTATCTGGCGGGCTCTCTGTTTGGCTGTCTGTGGTTGTCTGTATCTGGCGGGCTCTCTGTTTGGCTCTGTTTTGGCTGCCTGTGGTTGTCTGAATCTGGCGGGCTCTCTGTTTGGCTCTATTTGGCTGTCTGTGGCTGTCTGTATCTGGCGGGCTCTCTGTTTGGCTCTGTTTGGCTGGCTGTGGTTTTCTGTATCTGGACCTCTCTATATTTCAGTCTGTCTGTCTCCGCATTACCATGTTCCTTCAGTCCTGTACACAACCAGTAGACAAAGTAACTTCTTTGAGTGGCATTTCTAGAAGTTGGAGACTCAGATAAGGACAAACTTTATGGTTGAACAACTTCTCTATTCAGGTGATGCGACGTTTCGATACTGATTCTTGTGTCGTTGTCAAGCAGGTATGGTTGCATCTGTATCGAAATGTCGAATCACCTGAATAAAGAAGTTGTTCATCCATAAAGTGTGTGTTTATCCAGTAAACAAAGAACCATGAACTATTGATGAATGCATCATGACAACACATTACTTACTGAAATGGTGATCAAACACAAGGACTTCATCTTTGTCGCGTGTGTGTTGACAGGGGTGTGCGAGTCGTGTGCAGCAAGCGATATGAAGCTTATGTTATCTATATATTCATGTGATAACATTCATAACTCCTAGCATAACTTCTGATGGCGCACCTATTTACGGTCAAACATGAGCCTTTGGTTGGGATTTACAACATATATTATTGAGGGGCAAACGCAGATTTTGTGCTGTTTATAAATCTTACTGTTAATTGCTGTTACATTTACGCCAAAACACCTATGTCATTCTGGACCTGTCGGCCTTCTCAACATATTTTCAGTGCGTGCATTTGGCTATTATCGATGCTGGCTAGCACGTGAAACATTTCTCTATTGTTGATATGACGTCACACACTGATAGCGTCATGTTATCTGAACAGCTAATTGTCTTCAGCGAAGTCTCTCCGTCAGTTGGCCTTTCAATGTTTTATCTTCGTATTCGTATCTTAAAATGACATAGAGTAATAGTTGTAATTTACCTCCGGAATCTCAGATATTATGTATTGTCTGATACTGTATAATTTCTTGAAGATCGTTGTTTATTTACCGAATGGCTAGAAAAATTCATTGACAAGGGACAGATACACCTTCCTTTCGTGTCACGTATATGTATTTTGGGCTTTTATGTACCGGATTTCCTATAGGGTCTGACATAGACAGGGTTCAGCGTTACAGGAAAAACACTATCTTCACTGACATTGCAAGTGTGATAATGGATCAAATCCATCCTGACAAGCAGAAACGTAATATGGCGAACGAACAAACACCCTGGCCGGGTAAATCAATCCCGTACACAGCCAGCCGACTAATTGAATAGATACCCGTCTGCAAGGATCGCGGAAACATCTGTGATAATATTTCCACAGTGACAATGGGCTCATTAACGAACAACCGAACGCTAGAAACATATGGTGATGCTTGTTAGGCAACAGGACACACCTTTGTTTGGTCGCACTTGGTTACAAACGAGGCGGTTGTTTCTCCTGTGAAGCATTGTCATGGACGCGATGGAGGAGATGTGATGACGATGACAAACGGCACTTTCTGCTTCTGTTGCAATATCTGGAGCGGATTGGGGGTGGGGCTTCCTTCGTAATGCCGTCGTCCTGGCCCCACCCTGCCCCACCCTACCTGTTTTACATATATGCTCGTTACCTTCCATTACATGTAGATCTGGTTGTTATGGTAAAATCTATAGTTGTAAGCACACCGCGTTGTGATATTTGGGAGGCTATTGCGGGGACTCGCTACACACTTGGAATTAGAAATTGACAAATGACCTCCGTCTCTGGGACGATGGTGAGTAAATAATCCCGAGACTCTTATGTATTGTCATATTATTCATCACGGTTTCACTCATTTTTCATGCATGTATATAATGGGCGTTTTCCATTTTGAGAAATGCCTTTTAGAAAGTGGTGAAATGCCCTTATGTTATAGTTGGGATTACGCTTTGTGAGTAAAGTACACATTCTAGAAGTTATTTTTGTTTAGATTGTTTGTTGGTGGTGGTGTTTGTTTTGTTTACTGTTTTTCGTTTGTTTGTTTTTCTTGTTTTTTTAATTATTTATTTTTGTATGTTTTTGGGTTTTCTTGTTTTTGGGTTTTGGGGGAGGGGTGTTCTTGTTTTTGTGTTCTTGTTTTTTTCTTGTTTGTTTGGGGAGGGGTGTTCTTGTTTTGGGGGGGGTGTTCTTGTTTGTTTGTGTTTTGGGGGAGGGGTGTTCTTGTTTTTGGAGGAGGGTGTTCTTGTTTTTGGGGGGGGGGTGTTCTTGTTTTGGGGAGGGTGTTCTTGTTTTGGGGAGGGGTGTTCTTGTTTTTGAGGGGAGGGTGTTCTTGTTTGTTTGTATTTTATTTTGGGGAGGGGTGTTCTTGTTTTTGGGAGGGTGTGTACCTTGGGGAGGGGTGTTCTTGTTTTGGGGAGGGGTGTTCTTGTTTTTGGGGAGGGGTGTTCTTGTTTTGGGGAGGGGTGTTCTTGTTTTTTTGGGGAGGGGTGTTCTTGGTGTTCTTGTTTGTTTTATTTTGGGGAGGGGTGTTCTTGTTTTTGGGGAGGGTGTTGTTGTGTGTTTTGTTCCTTTTTTGGGGGAGGGGTGTTCTTGTTTTTTGTATTTTGAGGGGAGGGGTGTTCTTGTTTTGGGGAGGGGGTGTTCTTGTTTTGGGGAGGGAGGTGTTGTTTTGGGGGGAGGGGTGTTCTTGTTTTGAGGGGAGGGTGTTCTTGTTTTTGGGGGAGGGGTGTTCTTGTTTTTGGGGGGGGGGTGTTCTTGTTTTCTCTTGGGGAGGGGTGTTCTTGTTTTGGGGAGGGGTGTTCTTGTTTTTTGGGGAGGGGTGTTCTTGTTTTTGGGGAGGGTGTTCTTGTTTTTGGGGAGGGTGTTCTTGTTTGTTTTGGGGAGGGAGGTTCTTGTTTGTTTGTATTTTGAGGGAGGGGTGTTCTTGTTTTGGGGAGGGGTGTTCTTGTTTTGAGGGAGGGGTGTTCTTGCGTTTTGGGGTAGGGGGTGTTCTTGTTTGTTTTGTTTTGTTGTTTTGTTTGTTTGGGTTTGGGTTTGGTTTGGGGGCGAGAGTAGGGGAGGGGGCACTTTCAGAGAGAAGCACCTAAAAGTACTAGAATTTGTACTTCTCTAAGGAAGTGTAATCATAAATGTGATAACATATATTGTCATTTCGGAGGGTTGCCAACAGTGCTAGGTGCTGACATAGCTGATCATCAGTCATTTAAAAACCGATCAGGCCAAACTGCGATAAGAAACAAACGTAGGTGGGGGCAAGATCATACACCATGACTTTCCATGTTAATCCTTCTGACATGAAGTCATGTTGTGACGGAAAATATGAGCTCTGGCCATCTCCTATATAGAGTTAGAGCAATGGACTTAGCTTATGTTTTCTAAGTGCTACTCTGTGACATTTTAGAGGCATAACTTTCGTGCATCGATAGTCAAGCCATCGTATTCGTCCTTTGGTCAATCGTGGAGAGCCACTGTCGCTGACCTCTATATTTCTAGACAAATGATGTATGATGACCAGCTGGGTGCCTAATACTAAATGTACAACCCTAAATTCCACCCTGATCTTACCACTGAGGAAAGCCAGCATATTTCATATTGTTTCCCATGTAGGCTTCAGTGACGGTTGATCTCATTTTTGGACAAATTGTCCCTAAGATTTGAAGCTAGAGATTATAACTCTGGAATTATGACACGTGACCACTGGTGAAGCCATGTTGCTATGGGGATTGTGATTCGAGCTTCCATCCTATTTATTCATGAGATCCGGTCACAAGTGGCATATGATAAAACATCCCTGCATGACCACAGATTACACACGGACCAACACTTAGGCTGTTGCTGTGGAAATCTCGTTCATAAGCCAAGAATCGGAAGAACCGGAAATGAGATTGAAGAGAAGGATTGTAATAAAAAACAAGAGAACACGTATCCCCTCCCCTCCAAATACCTCAAAACACGACAGTACTTTAATCTCATGTAGGCTTAAAATCTTTAGAGGGCGGTGGGGTAGCCTAGTGGTTAAAGCGTTTGCTCGTCACGTTCACGGGTTCGTTTTTCTACATGGGTATAATGTGTGGTGTCCCTCGCCGTGATATTGGTGGAATATTGCACAAAGCGGCGTAA